GCACCACTTCTTGAATGGTTTGCAATTTTGACTCTTTTTTCAATTGTTTTTCTCTCAAAAACTTGAGACTTAAGTCTCTTTTAATGGGAATCAAACAAATCGATTGACATCTCCTGATCACAGGTCTCATCGATAGAGCAAACAATACAGACATTAATCCAATTGTTTTGAAAGACAATCAATTGATTGTAAAACTAATTGAAAACAATGTTAAGTAAAAGTGAGCATAACTTTCATCATTCAAAACAACATTTCTTTACTCTTTATACGGCGTGTTTCCATACAAATCCCATTCCCACCGCTTTCACACCCTTTACATTCACTTTCACTGTATAGCAGACATACTTATGTAAATGTTTGTGTTATAGTGTTAGGCAGAGAAGCCCATAATGTTTCGAAGGGGCACTACTCACACGTGATTGCATGCAATACTGCTTTCATTGCATTTAAATGTTTGTGTTTTTGTTTTGAAATTCAAAACACGTGTTAAAAGTTGTAATAATTGTGAGAAATATTTGAAAATCCATTGATTTAATGATCAAAACCTGATTTTATTGTTAATAATGACCAAAAAAATTAGAAAGAAATGTAAGTTTTGTTGATTTGATTTATAATTGTATTGTTATTAACATATATTTGTCACTAAATTAGACAACGATTTGAGTGAATCTGAGCTCAAATTAATGACAATTCAAGATATAATCAAAGAGTTGTTGAAGAGTTTAAGTGATGGCAAAGACGTGAACCTAACGAAACTCAAGTGTGAAGTGTCCCAAAAATATGGTCTGCAATCTCAGCCCCGATTGGTTGACATCATATCGTGTATACCTTATGAACACAAACAGCTATTGCTTCCCAAACTTCGGGCCAAACCTATCCGTACGGCCAGTGGTATAGCAGTGGTGGCCGTAATGTGTAAACCCCATCGCTGTCCACACATTAATATGACTGGAAATATATGTGTATTGAAATGAATGCATTTCACAAACCGTTGACCGCATCTCAATATTTTATTGATCTCTTTGCAGGTCTACTGTCCGGGCGGTCCGGACAGTGATTTCGAGTACTCGACTCAATCGTATACGGGTTATGAGCCGACATCTATGCGGGCCATAAGATCTCATTACAATCCATACCTCCAAACTCGTAACCGAGTCGAGCAGTTGAAGCAATTGGGACACAATGTGGACAAAGTTGAGTTCATCGTTATGGGCGGCACTTTCATGTCTCTGCCCAATGAGTATAGGGACTACTTTATCCGCAATCTTCACGACTCACTGTC